TACGCATTTGAAGGGGGGCACAAGAGATTGTACCCCCCTTTTCTGGTCGCAAAACTTATCGTTTAACGCTTGATATTTCGTTGTTTTCGCTTCATCGTTGGGAAAACCCTGTTGTTGGGAAAACCCTGCATTTACACTCGACGACACTCCCTCGCACTACTTTTTACATTTGCCAAAAACTAGTCTTCTACATACATCGCCCAATACTACCGATCTTATCGACCGGGAGGGAAACGCAGCCGTTCGAAAAAAAACACGGACAACAAACTTCGTGGACAAACCGAAACCGACAGAAGCAATCGTTCTTTCGAACCCCATGCAACGTACCGACGCTTAGCATACGTTACTTGGGGTTAACGAACTCGGATGGAGCCGGCCTACGGTGCGACTTGTATTTCTCTTGCGCCTCTACCGCCTCGGCGCCCGTAAGCCCTGCGTCGTACACCGCGTGGAAGTTGGCCACCTTCCGGCAGAACTTTTGAACGATGTCTAGGCGCAAGTTTTCTACCCCGAAGCTCTTGGAAACGTTCTCTCGCAAGCAGGCGATAGTGTATTTGCAGTTTCTGCGGACACATCACTTGGATGTACCCCACACAAGCTCGATCGGGTTCAACTCGCAATGGAACTTTGGAAGCATGAGCGCGACCCCTCCGTGGCGCTTCAGGAGAACCTCTAGACTAGAGTCGACGTTCGCGAAATCCTTTTGCGCGCGCAACACCGCCGGCATGCTCATCTTCGGGTTAGGCTCCTGACCCTTCTTGCCCCCCAACACGGTCATCCCTGGGATCCAATGCCCCCCTCTCAACAAACAGGATTTGCTTCATCCCCTTGACCTTGCCTACGTGATCGGTGGCGTCTGGCTTTTAGAATGGGTACTCTCCCTGCTGGAAGGTGAGGTGCTGCACCGTCCCTTTCTTGAGTTTGGGTGTGTCTTCCAGTATGGTGGTAGCATTCTGGGGAGCTACTGTAGATCCTGCCCTTTCCTCACCCCCCCGTACCCTGCGTTCATTCTAGATACACTCGGTGCCCCCTCCTCAACGCAATCGTGGCAAGATGACCAGTCGAAAAAACAGATGGGCCTGTGGTTCGGGAACTTGACGGNCTTGTAGTACGTCGAGAACTTGCGGTCGTCGCCCTCGCCCTCGAAGTAGAGCATGTTGATGTCGCGGTACTTTTCAGGCCTGGTCCGATCACCTGCTGCGTGTTTTTCCTTCGAAATGCGGCAGCGCTCACGCCGCAGATCTTGGGCCTTGTCGATGTTCTCTTGAGTGCCCTGGACGAATCCAACGTCGCCCACGATGGTGCCGGAAATCATGATGCCCTGTCCTTCTCCCTTCTTTCTCAGTCCGTGCATCGTCGGCGGCCACCACGCCATACGCTGTTCGTGGGTCTGCGAACATTGTTGTTGGATACATGTGCTGGATGA